CTTATTAAAATTAATTCGTTATTATCAAATTATTTTTTATTTGAAACATTTTTAAAGGCTGAACATGTTAAAATCAATATCCAATTGGTGATTTTTATCACATTAAAATTAACACAAAAAGAAGTTAAACAATATGTGTTAAAACATAATCTATAGATTGAAAGTTATATACTTTTATCAAATTAACTGATTAGGTCTGATTCAAGGCTCTAGAATATTATACTTATTAGAAAACCCGTGTAGAACATGTATACATCTTCTTAATCATAAATCATCCAATTAAGAATGTCAGAATAAATAATATTATATTAATTAATATATTATTTATAAAGAGTCAATATTGTTAGATTCAAGTATTTCTAATATAATTAAAATATAACCAATTCACGCATAAAAATTATTTTCCAAATCTAAATAGATATTTAATTAAAATTTTATATTAAATTTTGTATATTATGTTAATTTTTGGATATGAAAAAGCTAAATAATTTAATTATATATTTACTATTTTTTAAAAAAAAGAGAAGTGACTTCTCACTTATCTCATTATGCAAATAGTGGTGTATTCAAAAAATATTCATGCTAATTCAATAAAATCGATATATTTAATAAAATGATACGTAACTAAACTAATTGAAAAAATATTAGGACTTTATATTTACACCTATATTGGTTATCACAGGCGAACCAAGCTAATAAAAATCCCCCTCCCTGTATCTTCACGCCTCCTTTCCCACAAAAAATGCATACAATATGTTATAATATACATAATATTATTTAAATTGGTATTTATTTGTAAAAAAAGGAAAGAAAACCCTACAAATTTTTTTTAGTAGGGATCTAAAGCCTCCTAGAAAAATCTTGGCTATGCCTATGAGTGGTATATAAATTATATTCTAACTTACGAATTATGTTTTCTTAGAGTCCATTCTATTCGATATTATTATTGGTTATTTATTTATTTTTTAATAGTTGTATATAATTTATTTCTTAATCTAATAAAACAAAAATAAAGTTTTATTACAACCAAACTATTTATCATCATTTTATTAAAATGAAAGTAATATTATACCTGTTTTTCATCAAAATATAACTACACTTCTCATAAAAAAAATATAGTATTATTATAATTCTAAATTTTATGAAAATCTCAATATTATTTTTTTTTTCACCGAGAATAGTAATCATGCCCCTTATATAAAACTTTGCAATCAAATATATTGTATAGAATAAAAATTTGTTCATTCCATTTTGTAAAATCAGTAGCCTCATCAGTGGGTGGCATAAATTCTTCTCAACTCTATTTAATTTGAGGGTTCCTTAATTCCCATAAACTATTTTAACGCTAAAATGTAAATGAGACGGACTCTATTTATTCGTAAATTTTAATTGAAGTTGAAAATAAAATATTTCAGAAGAAAAAAAAAGCAATAGAAAAGCATATTCAATCATCAATAAATGCATTTTTTTTTATTATAAAATGAACGAAATTGATAATTTTTAAGTTACGATCGATTATCGTATAGGATTAAGAGTAAATTATTCATAGCTTTTAAATAATGTACATCATTGGATTCAACATTTCTAAAATTAGAGTTCATTGGAAATACATATAATGCTGTTATAAGCAAAATATAATTAACCTTATAAGTGTGGAAACCAAATTCGAAGGCTAAAAGTCCTTATTTCTGTTAAAAAAATGTTGATATACATACAGAAAACATAATAATAAAATATGTTATGTTATTGCATTCGTGATGCAAAATCGCTCCATTTTTTTAAAAACGGCTAACTCAGTATTTTATCTGGAAAAATATCAGGCAAACCTAAAGATATTACTCATAGATGGCACAAAGATTTGGACATCTATTATCGAAATCTCAAAACCTATGCAATATTTTTCTAGCTAAAATATTGAGTTAGCCTTTTTTTTTTAAATCGACTTGAATAGAGCAATTTTGTATCATTAATTGCGATAAATACACTATACTTATTTCATAATGCCCAGTAGTTTTATTTTAGTTAACTTTTGTATTTATTTTCTACTAAAATTTTTTTATAATATTAAAAAAAGAAGAGTTGCATTACTACCGTATCTACATAGATTTTTATAAATCATGTCACGGCTAATCGGCGCAATTTTTGCAAAATATCATAGGTGTCAAAATGATTGTAATATTTGACATAAGATAATAAATTTTTAAATTATTATATATTTTTTCTCAAGATTGATTTTAGTAAAAGTGTTATTTTGCGCCAACAAGCCCCAAACCCGGAACTTGTAGATTCAGGGGTAAAAAATATTTTTATGTCTAGACTTTTTATAAATGGGATTAGAGGAACTCAATAAAATTTAATTTGCCTCTATTTTAATAATTATGCATTATATTATTCAGCAATTAATTTTAATATAATTAATAATGTTTATTTATTTAATTCTCTTTATTGCAAAATACAAAATATGGAAATTAAAATGAATATGAAGTAGTGCTCCAAACCTCCTATAGTTTTAAATATCATTTTTTTAATTGTTATATTCAATCAAAAAAAAGGAAGAATAGGAAGGAAATATAATATTAAAAAATTTAGGGTCATTGAACAAGTCTATATTTTATTGGAGTCTATAAATTAATAAATAGTGTTTTCCGATATTTTAATATTTTGTTACCTTATTAAGTAAATAATCAGAAAATAGCATAATAATGGTAATAAATTATTTTAGAAGACCCTAAAAATTCTATTAGTCAAATTATGATATAGATATCATAAGTGAGTGCTAAATAATTTGTAAATTAATCAAACATATCAATATCTTTGAGGTATACAATCTTAGTATAAATATTTTCCTTTATGAAGTTTTATAATTTAAAATATATGACCATTGGTTATAATTATAATTCAGCTTAAAAAATATATAATATTAATAATAAATTGGTCTACAATAGTTTGAATTCAGGATGTTAATCTTATTAATAATATCTGAAATGATTGAGCATATAGAGAAGGCCAATCGCCTAGTATTGAATGCGCCCTCTCCAAAGAATAGAATGCTACTATATTGCGTCAATTCTACATAAATTATCCTCAAGCGTCTCCTGTTCAAGATATTGCCTCATTAGGGGAATAGTTCTTCAGAAAAAATAATTTCATACAAGGAAGTATAAATATTTTCAAAAGGAGTCGAAATTCTCTGAGTTAACTGTGTTTGGCATACTCTCAATTATAATTGACATATGATTTAAAAATAAAACTCTATAAATAGGTCGATAAAATATTTTCAACTTAAGTAATTGTGGATATTAGAGAGGACACACTATATATTAATGAATCAGAATTGTCAAAGATTAATATTTAGATATTTATGTTGGAAATTTTGTCTTTCTAAAATTTTCATTTTGAAGTTGCTTAAAAAATTTTTTTTGTTGCTATAATACAGCAGAGGTACCATTTTCACGGCCAGGATTTTTTCATTATATTATATATTATATTTATTTTTAATTTGGTTAGTAATGGCGATTTAAAATATTTGGTATCAAAATATTCGGCTCGGCCTGGGTATATAAAAATTTTTTTTAGGCCCGGCCCGGGTATTTGAAAAATTATTTTTTCAGACCCTGCCCGGCCAGGGATATTTAAAAAACTAAAATACTGTCCGTGGGGCTTACGGCCGGGTCTGCAGATCTTTGCAATATTTATTAATTTTTTTAAAAAAATTCCCCTTTGAGAAGGAAAATATATGATTATTTTACTATATTCCTTGATATTGTGTGCCTTACAGGAAAAATAAAGATTGTCTAACATCTTTTTTACATTACAAATAAATAATTTGTTCATGTCTTAAAAATATCTTCCAGCATTTTTTCAAGCCTAATAAAAGGGATTTGTTTACCAATGAATTAGTCTAACTTGAAAATAGTTACCAATCTCTTATTATATTTTAAAAATTATCCAGACGTTCTGATGAACATTGCAATTTACTTATATTTGATATCAAAGATCTAAAGAGATACCCATTTTCAAACTTGGCGTCAAAAACAATTAATAGATTACTTTCGGTGTCAAAGAATTTTTTTTTAAACCTGAGAAATTTTCTAATGAACTTTTTAATAAAATTATTTAAGATCTGGTAGGAAAACCAGACTTTTCTGGAATTTTTTTTGGCCCAGCCTGATTTCAGTTTCGAATTATTTAAAATTTTGTTATTTTGAATAATTTGGCTGTATTTTGAAAATTGTTCCAAAGCTCTCTATTATTTGTAGATCATTAATATATATAATTTTTTAAAATTAAATCTATAAAACTTGGTCCGGATTTAAAATCATACCAATTTTACTGGTTGCAGGTCTTTGATTTCAATTATATTTATGATAAAATGTATTTTTGAGATCAAAATTATTTTACATTAGGTACAATATTTAGTTGTCTTAGAATGAGAACCGTCTAAAAAATTATAAAATAACATTATATGTACATTAAAACCCTCTTTTAATATTTAGAAAAGTTTTATAATCATATACATATCATGAATATACAAACTTCTGAAAGGTATTCGCTAGAAAGGGCTAAAAGAATCAGGGCTAGTCGGATCAATGATAACATTATGCTTAGAGATTTTATAATAAGACATTTTTATTTCTATCATAATAATATAGAAGTTATAATATTATATTGAAATTAATCTACACTCTGTATACAATTAAATTAGGAAAAAAATTAAATAATTTTTGGTAATATATTTTTCAAATTTAAATAATGTCATAATTTGTTATTTATGAATATTTTTAATTTGTAATCTGATAATTTTGTAATGTAATATTTATTAATATTCAAATCCATTTTCTTACATGAGGAGTGACATAAGCCGATGATGGCCAAAAGTGCTATCAATCAATACCTCTAAATTTAATTGGACCCGCTTAAAATATTTTTTATAGGTTTCAACATATTCCAACAATTTTAATAACCAAAAAGGGAAAATATAATAATTCTCATAAATTTACCCGACATTGAATAATTTCCATCATAGAAAATGTTTGATTTAAATTGCTTTCTCTTCCGAATATTAACCTTTGAGACTTATAGAGGTAATATTTAAATTTTAAGGAAAAACGTTGTAGTAGTATTTTTAAATCTATAAATAATAATTATTAATTCATAATATTATATTATAAAAATATAAAGCTCAATTCATAATTTATATGCATTTAAACCGTAATTACAAAAAAAAATAAAAATAAAAGGGGAAAATTATATTAGTATTATATATTATTAGTTAGCGGAAAAAAAATCAATAAGCCTTTTTAAATGAAAAAAGAAATTTAGGAAAAAAAATTCATTATACTTCTAGATAAATTTAAACATTTATGTGGTATTATTATGTATATACGTATATATACTATTATATAAATATATTTATAAGGTTTGCTTTCAAAAGCAGAAAGAAATTATTCATGAATATTGTTAAATGTAAAATGTAAGTGTTTATATTATCACTCATAAGAGTCGCCTTTTTTGTATATATGTTGTATATAATATGAATATTATATGGAATTATTTTTTAGTATTGAAAAGTGTATAGATATTGTATATGTTGTTTCTTATTATTTTACAATTTCGGCTATCAATGAACTTCTTACGCAGACTCATAATGAGCCAAATTAACATAATTACGCCTGTCAACGCAGACCTATTTCGGCGAAATAAAATAATTCGCATTAGATTTAACTTATCACCAAAAATAAATCTTATTTCTATTTTATCGTCTGTTAGACTTCATTTATAATATAAGCTTGAAAATAGCTCTACATCGCATCTCTAAGCTGTTACAAAATAAGTAATGGTAAATAATATATTGCTATGATATAGTCTATTACGTAATATAATTATCACACGCTTACAATAAATGAGATATTACTTCTTATAAAGGTAATTTATATTAATATATTGAATGAAATTAATTAATATAAATATTTTTAAAGGTTAACTTTTATCATAAAATTCACAAAAACAAGTTTACATTTATCTATTACAAATGAAAGAATTATACAAAAATATACAATTTTATGAAATTTGAAAAAATGTTTTAGAATACTTATTATTTAGCCCAATTTGTGTTCCTACAAGGTCAAAATCAATATTTCATCAGTTTACTACTACATGGTGAAATTTAATATTTTACAAATTTTATTCATTTCTCTTAGTTCTGTTTTTAAGAAATATATAACTATCCGATATCAAATAGACATAAAGTCTGAGAGGACATTTGAATTCAAATTTAATTATGAATAAATAGAGATAAATATTTAACAATTTATTGCACTGATAGTCAAAATATTGAAAATAATGATAAATGATTTTTTTAAAATGGCTAAAATTTTGGCGGTTGCTTACAATTAACTCTTTTTTAAAACGGGTATATATTAATATATAATAGTAATTGTTATAATGATAGCGGAGCTCGTAATCTTCGGATAAACCATTCCTTTGATTTATTTTGCTTTTATGACATAAAAATTTAAGTGGTTTTTTATGATTTATCTATCAACTCGATAAACCTCAAAACACTGTATATAATATATATATACGCATATCTCTAAAGAAATTTTTTAAATTATAGCACTCTTGGGGTTTTGTTTTTCTTTTTATTTCATATGTAGGCTAAAGTGACAAATGAAAAGCGTATAAAAATCTTTTTCTCAATATTACAATATATGTAATATTTCTGAATAATCACTCGAGTCACAATTTTACCATCATTTTTTGTCATATTGATTTTTAATTATTCATGATATATAATATATTAAGTATATGAAATAGTATATGAAATTATTATGGTATTATATATCATTCCTGTCCTCCTTATCTCTAAAATTGTAAATTCCCATGCAACATAAATATAACATATCATTATTTCTTTATAATAATGTTTCCTCCCATAGTCATATTCGGATTAAATAACTTGTATAGATTTATATATTAATCTTTCGAATGTTTAACATACCTAATTTAAGCACTACTAATTTTTGAAAATGTTTTTTTCGTGTATTATATATATTAAATTTATACCAGTTAGGTCTAATATATATAATTTAAATTTTAAAATCAGATTGATGCCGTCTTATTTAAGTTATTTCAAAATATTATAACATTTATTCTAAAAAAAGTAAAACGAAAATACGGGTTTTCATCACTAGTTGTCATTTCATTTTAAATTAGATCGGCTCCTCTTCGATATAGTTAGAAAATAGGCTAATTTGGTTCAATATACTGGTACGTGTCAAAAAATCAGCTTAGCGACTCTTCGTTAAAATCATATTAGTATGATTTTACATACTGATTACTTCTTAATGTTGAACAAACATAAATGCTAAGTGGTAACCTTATTCAAGTTTCATTGTATTTTTTAGACTTTTGATTATTAACAATCACTAAAAATTTTAAAAAAAAACCTTTTTTTTTATTATAATTTGTTTTAAAAAATTATGTTTTTTGTGAATAATTTATTTCTTCATAGATAGAAGAGTTAAAAATTGTATCTGTTTTATAACAAAATTAGAGCAGCTATGTGTTCTGATTAAAAAAACATTGAATATATGAAGTAAAAGAAAAAAATCATAGTTTATTTGGTACATATAATATAAATTATAATTGGTAAGAATGCCCATGTATTACCCTAATTTTAATTGATTGAATAGTATACAATTCCTATTAACTAAAGTCATAGATATAACCATTATTGAGTTAACAATCCCCCACCACAAATATTGTACCCCAAATAAACTTTTGTCCTAAATAAAAAAAAATCATATTTTTGTATATTTTTAATTTAAAAACATGAGACTAAAAAAATAAAACATGGCTAAGCTATGTAAACTATTTTCTAAAATCATATCATTCTTATAGTTATAAACTATGCCATAAAAAAGAGGTTATGTAAGCTACTTTTAGAACCAACTATATTATCCATTTCTGCCTTTAGCTAATCATTAATCTATGTTTTCTATCAAATTTGAAAGGTTGTTTGACAACCTATCTTGTAATGTTATATAAAGAAATAGAAAGCATTTATCCCCCGTCAAAATTTTTTTTATATCTAAACCACTAACTTTTACTTAGTAAATTGGTTCCTCTTTTATCAACTTTTCATGGGATACAAAGAGAGTTCGACTGAAAAAAATCTAAAATCCATGTTTATAAACTATACTAACAACCAACGAAAATACAAAAAATAAGCGAGGGAAAATATAATCCTAGATCATATTGATGAATAAATACATATATATATATACATCATTAAACTTCAAATTTGATGGTGATTGAGAATATATATAAATTTCTACATTTTTTAAAATTTTTACAAAAATATTTTAAAGTAATTTATGAAAAATATTGTTTTCAAAGTAAATATTATAAATCGATTGTACCTGCAGAGGCACCATTTACAAGGCCCGGCCCGGATTTTTTTAAAAAAAAATTCGCCCGAGTTTTTCTGCCTGACCCAGGTTTTGTATTTTCACGGCCCGAATTTATTTTTAAATATATTACATTTATTCTTAATTTTAATAGCTAATAATAGCGATTTAGAATATTCGGTTTTAAAATACACGGCCCGACCCGGATATATTTAAAAAAATTAAAATAAGGCCCGGGTTGTCGGGCCTGCACGTCTCTGCTATATATCATTAAATTTCAAATTTAATGGGGATTCTAAATATGTTATTTATTATTTAAAGATGCTCAATTATCTAATTAAAATCTTTGCTCAGAAACTGAAAGTCTTATCAACAATATTATTTTTATTACATTTTCTATATATTTTTTTTTCATTTCGTGATTTTAGCCAAATATTTTTTAGAACAAAATTATTATTTTTTTAATTTTCTATATTTTTTTTACATTTTTTTCCTGATTTTGCGGCAACGCAACTTTTTCTTCTATTTTATTGATTATCATTGCGTTCCACATCCAAGGACACAAGTTCATATTTATTATTTTCTGTAAGGAAATAGACTAATGGGTGTCAAACAGCGGGTAAGGAATGCCCCATCAGGAAAGTATCTTTTTTTTATAAAATGCTATAACAAAATATTAACTAACATTTTAATAAAAGATATGATATAGAGTAAGTAAACACAAATATGTAATATAATAATCATTTCTAAATAATTAGGAAAGCTAAATCGTATTTAAACTATTACTACTACCAATGAACCACACTTAGAGTACACAAAAAAAAATTTAAGAATAATGTTTTCATTTGTATATATTTACTTTTCTAATTTTTATCATGGCTGCTTACACGGCATAAATCTCCTATTTTCATCATTGAAATATTAGATTCATATGAAAAATATATAAAAGTTGTTTATTTAAGACAAAGTAAAATGAAATATTATCAAAATAATACATTTTTCGAATATAAGTTTAGCTTGATATATAATAATCAAATGATTGTGTTTTAATTTTTGCCAATTCTAGCCGCTTAAAATGCCCTTGCCATTGATTTTAGAAAAATTATATTGATATCAAGTTAACCCTAGTAGTATTAATCCTATCTCCCACCAGACAATTACTACATGTTCATAGGTATTTGAATGCATACTAAGGGCAGTTATTTTAATAATGGATTAATAATAATTATGTGATCCCTTATTTTGATTCATTACAGTATTTTTCTATACAATTTCAAATATTTTTATTCTTCTCTCAAATAAATTTTCAAATATTTTTGGACCATTTTTAGAGCTATATGAAATTTTAATGTTCCTGGAAAGAAATCTATTTAAATGAAATAAAAATAAAAATAAAAGTAAAAAAATGGTTTATATTTCAAAATTATAAATAATAAGTATTTTACAATTTGACATTTTTACATTTAAAAAAAAACAAGTTTAAATCAATTATTTTTAATAAAAAAATTGTGAAATTCCCTAAAGTATTCGATTTGAAAGAAAAAAAATTTGTTTTCTTTATTTTTCATTGCTAATCTATATATATTATATCCTTCTTTGCCTTGAATCATAATTATAAATAAATGTTTGTATATTATTATAATGATATAATATGTGTGCGAGCATCGAATAAACTTTTGAAAGTATATACACAGGGGCCCAACACAGGAATTTTTTCAGGGACGGGTAAAATTTGTTAATAGAAGTTTCACACAATTTATTATGTTTATATTGCTTTTTATTATCTTCCATGTTATTTTACGCATTT